ATAGACCTTGTTTTCTTTCCCCCCAAAAATACAAATGTTTATCCTGAAAAATTGCAACCAGATGCATTAGGGAGAAATTCTGCATTTTTTTGAGAGCTAATCCATGTTTGAGGTGGATCAGGAGTTTAATCAATTAGTCATATACATAGTTGAAACATGATATGAACTGGGAGGTACTGAAGTACTACTCATCTGCCTCTGCCCCTTATGGTGTTGCTGCAATGGAACAGCAAAAGTGGATCTTTTGCATCTTCATAAATGTGCTTTCAATTAATTAATAATTCTGAAAAGTAGAAATATATAAGATAATAAAGGTAAATGCATGGGTTAATTCATTGAGTACAAATACAACATTAATTCTAGCTTAAACTCAAAATTTTCTGGTCAGGACTCAGGAACAATTAATTTATCACATTTGGATTGGAGGCATGCAGGGGAGTAGCGACATTATTTATCCCATATATACCTCAAACCAAAATTAGATTAGATGGAATTCAGGGTAAATTCAATTTCACAAACAGGGTTGTATTTGCACGCCATTTTTCTTTGCAATCGAGACTCTGCCATTTGTAGTGGTAAAGAGATGGAAAAGCCGTACCTGATCCTTTCAGCTTGTCCTTTTTCCTAGTCAAAGAAAAGTCGCAAATTCCTCATATTAGATTTTAATTTGTCCAGTCCTAGACGTTGAGTATTTTACCAACAAACCCCTACCCGTCTTAAATCCATCATAGGCTTGAGTTCAATAAATCGGTACAATAAAATTTTTAGTTCAAGGACAAAATCGGTGCAAAATTCAAAGTTGAAATGAATTATATATCTTTTCACGGTAGTCCCTGTTGAAATGCAATGGGAGTTCTTTTCAGGACGGTGTCAACAATATTTTATTGGTTTTCCGATATGCTCACTCAGATTGCGGATGGCTTGTGGCTTTAGAGGTCTTGTTCTTTCTCGTCTCGTCTGAGGTTTGAGGCCAGCTAGCGCTGCTGGGTTTGGTTTTGCTTTCCTGATCTCTTCTTATCGAAGGAGCCTAGTCATCAACAGTTAAATTCTGGTGGTGGGGTACCTTATTCGTAGGGTTTGTTTTTTTGGGTTTCTTTTCTCTTAGAAACAATTCTGTTCCTAATCCTGAAGTTGTAAACATGGTCATTTCATTATGATGATATGCAAACTTAAAATGATCTATTTTGCGTGATGGAGTGTTGTAGTTCCTTGCCAATTAATGTTATGATACCATAATGAATTAATGGCTTACAAATATCCACCAACTTTGATTGTATTAAATTCAGAGGACTGACATCTAGCTACTTGGGTGCAAACCTTGACTTGATCTTTTCAGCCTCCGGGGTAGCAATATGGAATGCCTTGGCCAAGACATTATCAGGCAATGATGGTGTGGCTGAAAACAAGGAGGCAGCAACAGACTGAGTGCCGGGAAGCTGGCTGTTAGAGGCAGCAATAACAGCAGCAGGCCCCACCCCAATGTTTTTCTGGTAATGGAGCAACCCTTTTGGGAACACATATACCTCACCTTTCTTGATTTGTTTTGCCATCAACACATTTGCAGTGGTTATGAATCCAACCTCTAGCTCACCTTCCAGAACGAAGATAACCTCAGAGGCACGTGGATGCGAGTGGGGAGGATTGATCCCACCAGGGGCGTAGTCGATGCGTGCTACAGATACACCAAGCGTGTTGAATCCGGGGCCTTTTTCAACATTACCTAGAGTCACCGCAATCCCCAGGGTGTTGTTGTTGATGGGGGATGGGTTGGCAAGGGCAGCAAAGAAGAAATCATTCCGAGTTACAGTTGCAGCATTCTTGCAGGTGTACCCATTTATTTTCAATTCTGCCGTAAGTGTATGGATTCGGATGAGTTAATTTTTAATTCAAGGAACATTATATGGTATATTTACAATGGATGTCGTAGGATATACCTGAGGTCAAATCGGCAACGCAGAGATCTTGAAGCACATCACAATCTGCAGCAGCGTTTGCCAGGAGAAGAGCAAGAATGATGAGAAGGGGCCTCATGGTTGAGAATGGAAGGCAGTAAAAGTTAGGGATGAATGATGAATGATTGACTGAATTTATAGTGAGGGAGGGAGGTGATGGTTATTTTTGGGGCATTTGACTGTATTTGTGTACCTTATACGTTCTGGCTTATATATATTTTTGCATTCACAGACAATGGGCTGGTGTGGAAGTGGTTTTGATATTGATGAGAAAGGATTTCCCATTCTTAGGATGTTGTAGTAAAAGTAGGTTTTTGCCGAATAAGGAATCCACCTGAGTCCCTTCTGCAAAACTTCCTTCCCTTTTGCTAAGTTTCTTAGCACAAAGGAAGCCTTAATAATATTACTTGTGGGACCATCAATTTTATATTTAACACAAAATGCTTTAGACCAGAGGGAATCCTTTTCAGTAATCAATCTCCAGTGAGCTTTAGCCATTGAAGCTTGGTTAGCTTCTTTAGAGGACCTCAAGCTTAACCCACCCCTTCTCTTGGGTTGAGTGATTCTGTCCCAAGACACAAGATGGGCTTTTTTCTTCCCAGTAGTAGATCCCCAAATAAATTGCTTGGAAATTCTATCCAGCTCATTATGTATAGAATCTGAAAGGTAGGCTCTTTGCATGTAATAATCTAAAGATATATTAAAGCAAATTCAAAAAAACTTTTTCGTGTTTACACTATATTTTCATACCTGTTCACACTTATAAACCATATAGTTTTATCTTTTAAATCCTTGAATTGGATCAGAACTGAATTGAAACTAGTTCAAATACTCTGTTTCACACTACATTAAATTTAATGATAGGGATGGAGTTATTACTATACCCCAAATAATTAATGTCATACTTTTTTAATATAAAATACCCATTATACCATTATATTATACTTTTTCTTAAAATTTTACATTTTTTATTTCTTAATAAATTAAAAGTATAATAATAGTATATATTAAAGTAAAACAAAAAAAAAAAACTATTTTGTATTTACATTGTGTATTCACACTTATAAATTAAATAATAATTTTATTATTATTATTATTATTATTATTAAAACTCTAAACAGGATCCAAACTAGATTAGAACCAGTTTAAATATTCATTTTCACATTACACCTAATTTTTTTTATTATTCTTATTTAATCAATCAATTTAATTCAATTCAATTATATTACCCATTTCCTAAATTCCTGTGTAAAACCCTTGGCAACCAAGTGTGCCTTATAACACTCCACAGAACCATCAAATCATGTTTTGATCTTGTACACCCACTTATAACGTATTAGAGATTTTACAGCAAGGAGATCAACTAAATCCCATGTACGAGTGTTCTCAAGAGCTTGTAATTCATCTTGCATAGCTTGTTGCTAAAGAGGGTTAAAAGAGGCCTCTTGATAGGATTGAGGCTCATGTAACGAAGTAATAACAGGAAAACAATGATAATCACGAAGGTAGTTGGCAAGGTTTTGAAAATCGGACCGGATCGGATGGTCGGACCGGTTGAATCGGTATTCGGTGATCTAAAGGGTTCGATTACACTTTTTGAACCGTTTGAACGGTTAAATCGTTTGAAATCGCTCGAACTGATGAACCGTTTGAAACCGCTCAAACCATTCAACCGGACGGTTCAATGCTTGGGCATAAAATTTTGAGAAATTTGTGTCCGCTGAGATTTGAACTTGCAACCTTAGAGTCTTTAAGTTGATCCTTTGCCACCAGGACAATGCAATCATTTCGTCAATGGGTGCTTGGACTTTTATTTAACCCATATAAACCCCAAAGATTTTAACCATATTATTGATTACAAGCTTGAGATTCGAACACTTAATCTCCATGTTGTAGAACAACGGTTTTTCCACTTGAACACAATGTTCTTTTGTCATTTTAATGCTTTACAATATACTTATTCTATGTTTAAAGCACAATTATATTAAAATTTGTTATCGGGGGCAAGGTTGTCAAAATCGAGATTTTACCTAAAATCATTTTGGCTAGGTGAAATCGGAATCGTAAAATCGAATCGGTAAAATCGAGATTTTACAAAAT